AACCCTAAACCCTAAACGGAAACCCTTGAAACATCCCTGACCTGTAGTTTCCAACAAGACTCGCCATCTGCGTTGGCAAGTGGGAACAGGACCGCCTCCCTACAACTTCGAGATTCCAAAATTAGGGTTTATGGTTTAGGGTTTCGGGTTTTTATACTAGGGCTTACCCATTGGCTCCACCGTAGTCCTTTATTTGTGGTATTTAGGATCCGATAAGGCCATCCCAAACAGGAACTACACTGGAGCCTACCTGGTTAGGGCTGAGGTCTATATGTATCTTACCACCTGCAAGCCCAGCGTAATCCCACGTATAGCTTAATTACCAGGGCCTCAACAACCCGAAACCCGTTCAAAACCGAGACCCTAAACCCTAAACCCTAAACCCCAAACCCCTAAACCATAAACCCTAAACCCTCAACCCTAAACCCTAAACCCTGACCCCGGAAACCCCTCCTCCGACCAACTGCCCAGAGACGTAGAGCTGCGGAATCCTTTGCTTGAGCTAGAGAGCTGAGGAAGACACGGGAGTTGATACTTTCACAGCCGCTGCAGCATCAGCTGCGGACTTTTTCAAGGGCCTTACAAGAAGTCGGATGAGTTCTGTCTTTGTGGGCTCCTTTTTTCTCATTGCTGTTACAAGTGTGAACTTCCTAGTTTAGGAAGAGGTTGGGGGTTGGGCCCTCAACCCTAAACCCTAAACCGCCTTGTTTCCACAGAATTTCTGAGCATGAAACCCCGGCTTCGGATAAGAGTTTATAGGAATCAGGGTGTTATCCGCCGTCTTAAATTTGATGGCTTAGGGATTTTAGGGTTTAGGGCGGTTTTCAAGAGTCTTTCTTCAGGAGCCCTGATCGAGTTCACAGACTGTTCTGCAAGCAAATCACAGGATGCTACTTGGATTCAAATCTTCATCGCAGGGCACATAGGTGAAACCACCGGCGACATTTACCGAAGGCCCCCCCCGCGATGTTGTCATTAACGGTTAGACAACTCAGGATTTCAGGGATTATGGGATTATGATTTAGGCTTCGAGATCTTCCGTGTCACAGCTTCGGCATAATGAGTGTATGGCTGCGGGCATAGATTGTGGAATAGAGCCGGAGAGACTCACAGCAACTATGATTCTGATATTGTTTTGCTACTGCACATGTACTGGTAGTGCAAATTGCAGTCCTAAGGCCTACACCCTAAACCCTGAACCCTAAACTCCTAAACCCCAAAGCCCTACAGCGATGGCAGTATCATGGGGCCAAGAAGGGCTGACGGCTTCACGGTTTGAGTTTGCATGCGGTGCGCGCGGTTCAGGGAGTGTCGTCTTCTAGGAGCTTAGAGATCAGACTTTAGGGTTTAGGGGGTTTAGGGTTTAGGGGTTTAGGGTTCAGGGTTTAGGCGTTTAGGGGTTTAGGGGGAGAGAGAGAAAGAGAGGTCACCTCCCGGCAAGGAGATGGGCACCCGCGTTGTCTCCGCCCCGAAGGGTTAAGACGCAAACGGGGCATGGGGCTCCGAAAACGTCATGGCCCCATGCAAGGCAGAGCAAGCAAGGCAGGGGCAGCTTCAGGAATGAACAAGGTGGCA